TTAGGTTTGGTTAGGTTAGGTTAGTTTGGGTTAGGTTAGGTTAGGTTAGGTTAGGTTAGGTTAGGTTAGGTTAGGTTAGGTTAGGTTAGTTTGGGTTAGGTTAGGTTAGGTTAGTTCGGGTTAGGTTAGGTTAGTTTGGGTTAGGTTAGGTTAGTTTGGGTTACGTTAGGTTAGGTTAGGTTAGTTCGGGTTAGGTTAGGTTAGTTTGGGTTAGGTTAGGTTAGGTTAGTTCGGGTTAGGTTAGTTTGGGTTAGGTTAGGTTAGGTTAGGTTAGTTCGGGTTAGGTTAGGTTAGGTTAGGTTAGTTCGGGTTAGGTTAGTTTGGGTTAGGTTAGGTTAGGTTAGTTCGGGTTAGGTTAGGTTAGGTTAGTTTGGGTTAGGTTAGGTTAGGTTAGTTCGGGTTAGGTTATGTTAGGTTAGGTTAGGTTAGTTTGGGTTAGGTTAGGTTAGGTTAGTTTGGGTTAGGTTAGGTTAGGTTAGGTTAGTTCGGGTTAGGTTATGTTAGGTTAGGTTAGGTTAGTTTGGGTTAGGTTAGGTTGGTGAGTAGGTTTGGAGTGTGGGGCCTGGGGTGGCGCCTGAGGTGGGGTTGGGGTGCCTTGGGTGAGGTGAATGGGGTGGTGGGGTTTGTCGGGCCGGGGGTTGGCCTGGGTTGGGTTTGGGGCCTGGGGTGGAATGTAAGGCCTGGGTCGGCGTGGGGTGGCATGGGGTGTCTGGGGTGGGGTAGTGTCTATGTTGGCCCTGGGGTGGGGGTGTATTATTACCGTGGATTGATTCCTCTTGAGCCCTAATGGAAGTCTTGTCCGCAATTAAAATGTGCTGTCCATCTCAATATCCGCTGACGTAATCTAATCACGTGGTTTCATGTCTGCTTTGGACGTCTAATGGTACCGGGAATTCCCCTTAATCCCCGGTGAATGGCGCGCAATTAAAACTAAAAATGGCCGCGTAATTAGGTCAATCTTGGCTCTCGTCAGAGCTGAACTAGGCCATTGTGCCGACGTTGTGCCGACATTGTGCCGACATTGTGCCGACATTGTGCCGATATTGTGCCGACATTGTGCCGATATTGTGCCGCCATTGTGCATCAGGATTTTCATCCCCCTCCCCCCCCCCCCCACTCCTACCTAGCCCGTTCCTTTTCCACATCACCACACACATACACACACACATACACACACACATATACACACACACATACACACACTCACAAGTTGCTATTGTACAATCAGGTTTACAGTTTCCGGATTTTCTGATGTGCCGTCAATGCAGGCTCCCTGAGGCCATTTTAAGTAAGATCTCCAAGGTCATGGGCCATACGCTGCTGACTTCAAGGTCATGGGCCATTCTCTTCGTCTGATCCAGATGGGTTTTTTTTAGCTTGCGGCGTCTGCCTGCCGTGTGCTTACTGTTGCCGCCTAAAACTGTCACAAGGTTTTGACTTAAAACTATCAAAAGATCCCAAAAAAGATCAAGAAAAAATGAATTTTAAAATTGTTGTTGTGACTTTTGCCTGTAATAAAATAAGCCCCGCCCACTCCGGATATCAAAAGATAGATTGGGCAACAATAAGCCCCGCCCACTCTAGATATCAAAAGATAGATTGGGCAACAATAAGCCCCGCCCACTCTTGATATCAAAAGATAAATTGGCCAACAATAAGCCCCGCCCACTCTAGATATCAAAAGATAAATTGGCCAACAATAAGCCCCGCCCACTCTAGATATCAAAAGATAGATTGGGCAACAATAAGCCCCGCCCACTCCAGATATCAAAAGATAGATTGGGCAACAATAAGCCCCGCCCACTCCAGATATCAAAAGATAGATTGGGCAACAATAAGCCCCGCCCACTCCAGATATCAAAAGATAGATTGGGCAACAATAAGCCCCGCCCACTCCAGATATCAAAAGATAGATTGGGCAACAATGGATTTGATTGGCATGGCAATTAGCTCTGAGTGGGTTAAAAAACAAACAAGGATTTGTGTCGAGAACATTCTGAATGCTGGGGATACATCTCTGCTGCTAGATACAGACAAAAATGTCTGACTCCGTGGGGTGGGGATGGTGTGGGAGGGGGGAGGGGGGGGGGGGCGTCCTGTATAAAAATATCTCTGACGTGTCATGCTATACAATTGGCCGCTTTGTAAGCGGGGCTGTCAGATACGACTGGGGGGGGGGGGGGGGGGGAGTTGATTGAGACAAGAATTGGGAGTCTGTACGACATGTTGAGGTGGGGGGGAGGGTGATTAGGATGAGAATTGGATGTCTAGCTATTGCATTAGGACACTATTTGGACTAAAATGTTTTGAAGCCTATGTTTCTGGAATGTTCTAGATCTTTCGATGGCTGTCTCCTCGCGTGCCAGACAAACGGTGAGGTCACAATCTGGTGGGGGGGGGGGGGGGGGGACGACGGCAGCATTACAAGAACGATAACCCACACAAGACAAGCGTTGTCTCCCCTAAATACTGGGTTACGCCGTTTGGTCAGGGCGCCATTTCTCTCGCCGTCGCTAGGCAACGGGAGACAAACACAAATAAAACAGACAGGGTTACACGGCGCCTTGATGGCCGAGTGTAAGATATGTGGTCTGTGTGTCACAGGTGATTGTGGTCTGCCTGTCACAGGGTCTGCCTGTCACAGGATGATTGTGGTCTGCCTGTCACAGGGGATAGTGGTCTGCCTGTCGCAGGTGATTGTGGTCTGCCTGTCACAGGTGATTGTGGTCTGCCTGTCACAGGGGATAGTGGTCTGCCTGTCACAGGGTCTGCCTGTCACAGGCTGATGAAATCAGTTGATTAAGAGATGCCTGACAGAGTGAGGTCAGCGGAGACTTGGGCTGGGGTAGGACTGTAACTCGAACATTCTGGAAACATTTGCTCACTTGGGCTGGGGTAGGGCTGTAACTCGAACATTCTGGAAACATTTGCTCACTTGGGCTGGGGTAGGGCTGTGACTCGAACATTCTGGAAACATTTGCTCACTTGGGCTGGGGTAGGGCTGTGACTCGAACATTCTGGAAACATTTGCTCACACAGTGGTGGATGTGTTCTGGTCGGTGGTGCTCTCAACTTCCGGCAATAACAGGGTTAGTTTGTTAGTTTGTTAGTTTGTTAGTTTGTTAGTTTGTTAGTTTGTTAGTTTGTTAGTTTGTTAGTTTGTTAGTTTGTTAGTTTGTTAGTTTGTTAGTTTGTTAGTTTGTTAGTTTGTTAGTTTGTTAGTTTGTTAGTTTGTTAGTTTGTTAGTTTGTTAGTTTGTTAGTTTGTTAGTTTGTTAGTTTGTTAGTTTGTTAGTTTGTTAGTTTGTTAGTTTGTTAGTTTGTTAGTTTGTTAGTTTGTTAGTTTGTTAGTTTGTTAGTTTGTTAGTTTGTTAGTTTGTTAGTTTGTTAGTTTGTTAGTTTGTTAGTTTGTTAGTTTGTTAGTTTGTTAGTTTGTTAGTTTGTTAGTTTGTTAGTTTGTTAGTTTGTTAGTTTGTTAGTTTCAGACATTTTTTCTCTTGGGGGGGGGGGTGTCACTTGAAAAATTTCGTCGGACTAAATTTTCAGGGGGGTCGGGAGGGGGGGGGGGGGCATTCTTAAAAATAGATATTTTCTTTAAAAATTCTATTTCGTCCGGGATAGGGATAGGGCGGTAGACGTGCTTGAACAAAATGTGATAAGTCAAGATTTGAGTTGTTTGGACGCTGCAGATGTTTTATGAGCCGGGTGCTGATGATGTTTTCTCTTTACTTGAGCTTGGTGCTGATGTTTTGTGGCCATCTCGAGATGACAACTGATGTTGTTTAGATGAGAACAGCAGAAAGCTAAGCTCATTCATGATTAACTCGTATGTTGACCGTATGTTGACCGTATGTTGACCGTATGTTGACTACCGTATGTTGACTACCGTATATTGACCGTATGTTGACCGTATGTTGACCGTATGTTGACTACCGTATGTTGACTACCGTATGTTTACTACCGTATGTTGACTACCGTATGTTGACCGTATGTTGACTACCGTATGTTGACTACCGTATGTTGACCGTATGTTGACTACCGTATGTTGACTACCGTATGTTTACTACCGTATGTTGACTACCGTATGTTTACTACCGTATGTTGACTACCGTATGTTGACTACCGTATGTTGACTACCGTATGTTGACCTATGTTGACTACCGTATGTTGAATACAGAACAAAATAGTTTGTGTTGTTGTTCTAACGATCTTCTGATACCCATTCCTCCTCCCCCCTCCCTCTCTCCAACTCTCGCTCCTCTACTCCCACCAATAACAGACTCTACAGTACCTCCCTGTAATTTCTTCAACCCCCCCCTCCCATATATTATCACCACTCCCCCCCCCCCTCCACACACACCTTGGTGTAAGCTTCCCCCCCCCCTACCCACCTCTCACAGTAGCGTCCGCCTCAAGACTTCCCGTACAAAACTTGCAGACGTGAAATTATTGGCAGACAAGTTGCACGAGAAAGCTTTGAAGTTCCAGTCAGGGGATCCTCTGCGCATGCGTAGCGCGTTTCGTGTAGCGAGTGTCCAAGTGTCATTACTCAAGAGGCTGCGCGTTATAGATGCGCATTCAAACAGTTTGAGTCGGCCACGGCCATGCGCAGTGCGTGTTTTATGGGCGCGTGATGAAGACGGCGCTATCTGATGACGTGTTGTACTCACAGCTCTAGCGCTCTAATTAGTTTGTGATACGGCTACCGTGGTTCTTAAATATGGTTCTGACATGCGCACAGATGCTGTATCGGGGGGGGGGGGGGGGGATTAGCTGTACGGGAATTTTGTGGGAGGAGTGTTAATACTAGGTTACCAGGGGGGGGGGGGGGGGTAGGTTGTGGTACTGGTTGCTTGTAAGATGTGTTCAGTAATGGTGTAGTTGGGGTGGGGTGATATTCATGAAAATGTCGGAGAAATTAAAAGGAATTTTTTTTTAAAGAGGCCAGAAGTTGGATGGCCAAGAGGGCAAAAGTTGGATGGCCAAGTGGCCAAAAGTTGGATGGCCAAGAGGGCAAAAGTTGGATGGCCAAGAGGCCAGAAGTTGGATGGCCAAGAGGGCAAAAGTTGGATGGCCAAGAGGCCAAAAGTTGGATGGCCAAGAGGCCAAAAGTTGGATGGCCAAAAGGCCAGAAGTTGGATGGCCAAGAGTGCAAAAGTTGGATGGCCAAGAGGCCAAAAGTTGGATGGCCAAGAGGGTAAAAGTTGGATGGCCAAGAGGGCAAAAGTTGGATGGCCAAGAGGCCAAAAGTTGGATGGCCAAGAGGGCAAAAGTTGGATGGCCAAAAGGCCAAAAGTTGGATGGCGAAGAGGGCAAAAGTTGGATGGCCAAGAGGCCAGAAGTTGGATGGCCAAGAGGGCAAAAGTTGGATGGCCAAGTGGCCAAAAGTTGGATGGCCAAGAGGGCAAAAGTTGGATGGCCAAGAGGCCAGAAGTTGGATGGCCAAGAGGGCAAAAGTTGGATGGCCAAGAGGCCAAAAGTTGGATGGCCAAGAGGCCAAAAGTTGGATGGCCAAAAGGCCAAAAGTTGGATGGCCAAGAGGGCAAAAGTTGGATGGCCAAGAGGCCAGAAGTTGGATGGCCAAGAGGGCAAAAGTTGGATGGCCAAGAGGCCAAAAGTTGGATGGCCAAGAGGGCAAAAGTTGGATGGCCAAAAGGCCAAAAAATGGATGGCGAAGAGGGCAAAAGTTGGATGGCCAAGAGGCCAGAAGTTGGATGGCCAAGAGCTATCATGCCAGAAATAACTTGGTAGCTTTGATACAAGCACGGGGAAATCTGGAAAGATAATGTTAGATCACCACACGGATAATTGAAGCCAATTGTTGTATCCACACATCCATCCAGTCGTATCCACACATCCATCCCAATGTATCCACACATCCACACATCCAACCCAGCATATCCACACATCCATACACCTTATCCATACAATTACCCCAACCGATCCTAAAATTTATCCTCATATACTCTATCACAAAGTGATGTTTTTAGTAAATCAGATTTAAATAGCGGCCAACATTATCAGGGGCGACAACTCTTGTCTAGACAAAGCTAGAGCATTGGTTCAAGCCCCTGCTATACAGGGCTGGGTTTAACAAGGGGAGATTAAAATAATAGTAAATATAGATAGCAGTTCTCTCCCCCGGGGCGTCGGTAAATTGAGTTATCTCTCTTGTTATGTGGACCAAATAGCCAGGGGAAAACCTGAGCAAGCGGACCACAATTTCTTTTGGTGGGCCGGTTATATGGTGCCGCAATTTCTTTTGGTGGGCCAGTTATATGGTGCCACAATTTCTTTTGGTGGGCCAGTTATATGGTGCCACAATTTCTTTTGGTGGGCCAGTTATATGGTGCCACAATTTCTTTTGGTGGGCCAGTTATATGGTGCCGCAATTTCTTTTGGTGGGCCAGTTATATGGTGCCACAATTTCTTTTGGTGGGCCAGTTATATGGTGCCGCAATTTCTTTTGGTGGGCCGGTTATATGGTGCCACAATTTCTTTTGATGGGCCGGTTATATGGTGCCACAATTTCTTTTGGTGGGCCGGTTATATGGTGCCACTTTTTCTTTTGGTGGGCCAGTTATATGGTGCCACAATTTCTTTTGGTGGGCCGGTTATATGGTGCCACTTTTTCTTTTGGTGGGCCAGTTATATGGTGCCACAATTTCTTTTGGTGGGCCAGTTATATGGTGCCACTTTTTCTTTTGATCATATCCTAAATGCACTGCGCTTCATCCACACATATATCATCTATACACATCATCTATACACATCATCTATACACATCATCCGTACACATTATCCATACACATCATCCATACACATCATCCATGCACATCATCCATACACATCATCCATACACATCATCCATACACATCATCCATACATATCATCTATACACATCATCCATACATATCATCCATACACAACATCCATACACACCATCCATACACATCATCCATACATATCATCCATACATATCATCCATACATATCATCCATACATACCATCCATACACATCATCCATACACATCATCCATACACATCATCTATACATATCATCCATACATACCATCCATACACATCATCCATACACATCATCCATACACATCATCTATACATATCATCCATACACATCATCCATACACATCATCCATACACATCATCCATACACTTCATCCATGCACATCATCCACATACCATCCATACGTTTTACCCATACATATCCACATACCATTCATACTTACTACCCATACACATCATCTAAATACCATCCATACCCACAGACAGATTTTAAGTTGGTGAGCAAGAAACCATAAGCATGAAAGTTTGAAAAATTGAAAATTTGAAAAATTTAAATTAAATTAAAGTTTGCCAGGAAAAAAAATCTGTCAGTCGTCAAAGTTTGGCTAGACGGGAGAATATTTTGGTTTCATTTTTCAGTCGCTCAATTAATCATTTCTGTAATGACTTGTCGAGCTTCTGAAGCAGCAGTGACTATAATTCATATTAATGAGTTTCTTTATCACGCCCTGGAATCTTGGGCTGCACCGGCAGACGTGAGCGCTCGTCAACAAGTTTTTGGCGGGCCCGAGGGGTGAGTTGTGAGACGGCCCGTGGGGTGAGTTGTGAGACGGTTCCCTCACTCACCACCAGCAGACGGTAAGACAAGTGTGACGTCATCTGTCGCCAGCGGTAGTATTTTTGTCTGGCTGGTTACAGAAATATTTCAGAACTGAGAAGGTCTTGTTCCGTACACGGAAATATTTTCAGAATGATACTACTGCTAGTTCGGTACACGGGAAAAACAATTCCATACTAATAGTTACGCGCATAGAAAGTTTCAAAAAGCGATCATGTGGAGGACATTTAATCAATTTTTTTTAAATTTCAGATGTTCCATCCCCTCCAGCAGAGGTCTAGTTAGGGGATGTCCGGCGGGGTAGTTGACCACAGAGTTTCTTCCAGGCATCTCTTCGAACGAGATGGAATTTATATAGTAAACAGATACTTTTACTAGTGCCCCCCCCCCCCGGAAAATGTTGACCGCCCCCCTCCCCCCGGAAATATTAAGTGCCCCCCCCCCCCCCCGGAGAAAAAGGTCTGGGAGTAACACTGGTTGACTAGGGCGCCACACCTATGGGGTGCCAAACCGAGTATATAAAACAATAAATAAATTTATTCCACGCGGTCGAAAGTTGAGAATGTGATCGAATCTATGTAGATTTTATAGTTGCTGGCGTACAACGTAACAAACTCAATATACACAACATTCAAATAGACAGGCGACAAGGGACTTAATACAGGTAGATACATGTAGCTTAGAGTGAAGATCGTAAGTTGAAGTTTCAGATCAAATATTTTACTCGTCTGTGGTCTCAGCATAAACAAGAACAAACGGAATGTGAAAAAAATGTGCTAGTTGCTATAAAAACGTGATTATCCACATACAATTTCATTTTGGGTTCGATTTTGTGAAAAAAAAAAGAATGCAGTTAAAATATTTTTTCAGATCGGATTATATTTGTGGGTCGCGGTCAGGTCGGATTATATTTGTGGGTCGCGGTCAGATCGGATTATATTTGTGGGTCCCCGTCAGATCGGATTATATTTGTGGGTCCCCGTCAGATCGGATTATATTTGTGGGTCCCCGTCAGATCGGATTATATTTGTGGGTCCCCGTCAGATCGGATTATATTTGTGGGTCCCCGTCAGATCGGATTATATTTGTGGGTCCCCGTCAGATCGGATTATATTTGTGGGTCCCCGTCAGATCGGATTATATTTGTGGGTCCCCGTCAGATCGGATTATATGTGTGGGTCCCCGTCAGATCGGATTATATTTGTGGGTCGCGGTCAGGTCGGATTATATTTGTGGGTCGCTTCAAGAGCCAGAAGAGAAGTCTCAGCATAAATTTAAAAACTATTTTATTATTAAAGCCAGTTAATATTAAAGATAACTTCAAGGAATAAAAAAAACTTATATAAAATGCGTTTACTAAAATAAAACTGACAAGTATACATTCTTTTACTACCTTTCTGTTTTTCTAAACAATATTTTTTTAATATTATTAAATTTTTTAAAATGAAATGTAATTGTTTTTATTGAGGTTGGGTATTATTAATAGGCCTATTATTATTTATGAGTATTTCATAAGGCTATTTAGATATGTATAACGTTTTGTTTTAAATTTTAATCAACATGTTCTAGGGGAAGTAACCTAATTTTAAATATATTTTTGTATCTGGTCAAAGGGCCACAACCATTAAATAATTGTAATCCGAGAATTCGTAGGGCTAAATCTGTCGGTTAAAACTAAAAACACTTGCGTTTTCAGCGGCACTAAAACCATAACTTGATGTTCCCAACAGAGATAGTCAATAAATAATTATAATGATTAATATTATTTTACTCTGTTTTTTTGTTTTGTTTTTTCAGTCTCAGATGATAAATGAAAATAAATGAAACTAGTAGCTTCAGTGAGGTTTGGTGATTGGTGTAATAAATAAACGGCAGTGATAGAGAGTCTAGTAATTAAAGGTATTTACAGACCTTTATTTGAGAGATTACTTAATCTAACTTTTTTTTTAAAAATACATTTTAAAGCTCTGAATTTTTAAATTATTGTTTTTAAAGTTTTTTATCATTATCGCCCTTTGACCAGAAACCAAAACCTTTTTCTATGACAATTTTTTTTTTACTCTATTGTCATTTCACTTTATTAACTAATAATAGTCACACTTCTGAGTTTATTAAAAAGCTAAATGGTTGTTTAAAGACAACAGTAGGAATTAAGTATTTTACCCTTAAGATTCTCAATAACTTTTGATATGTCATCCAAGACCATAGACCTAAGGCCTATGCCCTGCCTACCTATTTAAAAGCCCTAAGCATTGGATTGGTCATTTTTAAAAAGAAAAAAAAAACAAGCGGAATCACTCTGGTGAATTTGATATTTAGAAATCTATTTCAGTATTTGAAGTAATATTTAGAATCTAGTAACTACTAGATCTAACTAGAATAACTAGAATGTTTCATCTCTATCTTCTGGATCTAAAACTAGCGATCTATCTAGATCTAGTCAACTAACATTTGCTTGCAGCAATTAAAAGTTATTGGTGAACACCAGGCCTAATTAATTATTAGGCCTATTATTTTTCTAAAACCTAGAATCTAGATCTAGATACTAGATCTAGATTAGTTAGTAATCTGGGTAAATCTCCATTTTAGCGTATTTTATTCGCCGCTTTGCGTACAGCTCCGGTTGAGCGTATTTTATTATTATAAACACAACCGAAACACACAAAAACATTTCGAACACACTAGAACTAGGATTAGAAAAGATCTAGATCTAGATCTAATTTTTTTATGAATGTGTGTTGTAATTAGAACAGGTAAAAACATAAATAAACATTACAGGTCCAATAAAATAGCGGGTGATTGTCGGCGTGAGAAAAATCCCTACACGGTCGAGGGTTCACCGTGAGTTCACATTGACTTTATCTATATAAGTCATAGCCCATAGCTTGGGCAATTGCTATTTGAAATTGTGGTGGCCTCAATGTTGGGGTCATTGTGAGTTCATATATGTTTATTTAGAGTTTAGAGCAATGGGCGTGCGAGATACTTTAAACAATATAAACTTAACCTCCATGATTTTGGTACTTTACCCATCGCCATGGAAATCTTAACTGACACGAACATATTTTCAAGAGTAAAAAAAAAAAAAAAAACTAAATAGTGCACATTCAATACATCCAAATTTGGATTTTTCTCAAGTTTTAACAAAAGTAAATTATCTAAAACTAAAACAAAAAATTCACGAAGAAATAGGCTTAGAGTTTTCCTAACGTTTTTGTGTGTTTCGATTGTGTTTATAATAAAATACGCTCAACTGGAGGTGAACGTGAAGCGGGGAATAAAATACGCTAAAATGGAGTTTTACCAGTAATCTGTTCTAGATCTAGATCTAGAAAGTAGTTTAGATCTAGATTTTCTAGATCTAGAAATGAAATAGATCTAGAATCTATTCTACTACTAGTACTAAGGCTACTATTATTAATAAGGTAATCTATCGTTTTAGGTGCGTAAAATTTACTTGAAAAAATCTGCCGAGGCTAGATTAGATCTATGAGTCTATGATTATAGTAATGTCCGAAAAAGTTGCCTCATTGTTATGTTAAAAAGAAGTTGGCCTAGATCTATAGGGCCTATATATTTATATGCCCTATACTTAACTATACTAATTGACTAATTGTGATATATTTTTATTTGCGTCAAATATTAGGCCCTATATAGATCTAGATAACTAAATAATAAACCAAAATCAATGGCTAAATAAAAAAAATAAAATATAGGCCCTATCAATCTAGATCTAGACTCTAGGCCAGAAATTATATGCCTGGAGAGCAGAGGAGTAACGGCGTGTGTTTATGTGGTGTCTCACATGGTCCTCATGAAGAGAGTTATATATATATTGATACTTGCAATAATTATAGGCCTACAGGGACATCCGTCCGATATATCTTTTAATTTTAAATAAATAATAGGCCTAAATAATAAATATTTTACTAAATAAATTTGAGGATGATACAAATAGTCCAGCATCACCTGCTTGTAGACAAACCATGAAGTACTCTCTGCAAGCCCTTAATACAATTTTTCTCTGAGTGGAGTTTTGTGTTGGTACAAAGTGCAGTCTTGTGGATCAGTGGGGTACGCAGGAATTTGTTACCGTGTTAAGGGGCGCTTCATACAATCATTCATTATAGGCCTACTTTATATTTATATATGTGTGTGTACTCTGTACTGTATATGCCTAGGCACTAATATAAATATATAGCCAACATAACATGATTTTTATACCAGTGTGATAATACATCATAATAGAATCTTCTTAAAAAGGGGTAATTAACTAAAATACAGCACACACATGGCTTGCTAATGTCAATGCTAACCCCAACCCTACTCTAACCATACACCTAACCCTAATTTCTAACCATAAAACTAGTCAAAATTACAATACTATTAACAACCTAACCCACCTATTCTTTTAAGTCTCTAATTGGACATCAGCATCTTGAATCAGCCTCTTATTATTATTCTAGTTTCTATAGGCCTATATAGACCTAGATAGATAACATTATAGATATTATAGATATGGAAACAAATGTTCAAATACCCAGTCTGTACATGCTAGATTTTTCTATTCCCAAAATAGTTCCATAAATCTATTTTAATCATAGCTGCAGTTTTTGCAATGTTAATTATAATTAATTAGGTAGATTAATAAAACAAAATTAAAAGTTAAGATCTTGAAGTCTTGACCTAAATTAAAGATTGTAGAAGAAAAAGTCAATAGAATACAAAACACAGGGATAAAACACTGAAAAAAATCAAGGGAAAAGTCACAAATGTGTATTTGCATAGAATTTGTTAATACTTATATGTATTATGCAAATCAACTTATGATTGATTAAATGTAATGTAAACATGTTTTGTATATTATATGCGTTGGTTGTATACATATTTATAACATGCATAAAAGATTTTCATATAAAGTTTGTAGGATTTAATTTTAATACCATTATAGGCCTACATATAATATTTAATATAATATTTAATAGAATCTAATATAATTTTCAAACCTGCTTGTTTTCAATTGTGTTTGTTAAATACTAAGTTTAAATAAGCATAAATTGTGTTTGTTAAATACTAAGTTTAAATTAGCATAAATTGTGTTTGTTAAATACTAAGTTTAAATAAGCATAAATTGTGTTTGTTAAATACTAAGTTTAAATTAGCATAAATTGTGTTTGTTAAATACTAAGTTTAAATTAGCATAAATTGTGTTTGTTAAATACTAAGTTTAAATTAGCATAAATTGTGTTTGTTAAATACTAAGTTTAAATTAGCATAAATTGTGTTTGTTAAATACTAAGTTTAAATTAGCATAAATTGTGTTTGTTAAATACTAAGTTTAAATTAGCATAAATTGTGTTTGTTAAATACTAAGTTTAAATTAGCATAAATTGTGTTTGTTAAATACTAAGTTTAAATTAGCATAAATTGTGTTTGTTAAATACTAAGTTTAAATTAGCATAAAGTGTGTTTGTTAAATACTAAGTTTAAATTAGCATAAAGTGTGTTTGTTAAATACCAAGTTTAAATTAGCATAAATTGGCATAAATGTGACTTGCTGCCCTCAACTCATTGCAACAATAGTTCAACCATCTTTATCACCTCATTACATAACAAAGCATAGGATCAAAACAGAAAGCAGACAAAGTACAAAGGCTGTCATTGACGCAAAACGTAAACAACACACAATATGGACGGACAAAGCCGACTGAGGAGAAGCCAACCAAGATAAGGCCTACAGCAAAATCATATGCAAACCCAATGATGAGCCAAAATTCATTTTTAGCGCAATTTCCATTCTGGAGAATTGCGTTTATTAACCCGTCATTTCTGGATGGATGGATGGATGGATGGATGAATGTGTGTCCGCAGCTTTAAGTCGTATCTCCTCCTCAACGAAGCAATATCGATGACTAGTTCCAAAAGCAATTATGTTAAGCAAGTTACGAGGATGAACATAGGCCATAAAAATTCCGGGTTTCTTTCATGGATTTCCCAGAAAAGCCAAAAAATCTCGAAAAAAAGCAGTTTTTGGCCCATATCTCGGCAACCAGACCACTTAGCGACTTGAAACATGTACCAATCGATTCCTGTCATAATTTAGAACAATATTGCCGAAGAAAGTTTTCAAAAATATTCTCTCGTTCGGTCACAAATTTTAAAATTACATAAACACCTACAAACCGATTGTTCTTCTAGCTTGAACGCACCCCAACATTATACGTCAGAGCTATTTTTAGATAACATAAGGAAATTGCGCACAAATGTCACTAGACTTTTTTAATTAACTTGTTTAATAATTTTCCACAGCGTATTTAACTAAAGTTGAGGTTGCTATGTACATTATCTTACAGTAATTTAACTTATTATTGTTATTTTCCATAACGCTTTTAAAGTTTAGAAATGTGCACCCAAGAAAATTATCAGGCACATTAATATACACCCAAAATTTTACAATTCTCAACAATTAAATCCAAATATATCATAGAATATTTTTGTGACATTTTTTCTGTGACTTTTTTTTCCAATAAATTTTTCTGTGTTTTTATTTCCCGTGACTTTGTTTCTGTTCACCTAATTAAATTATCTAAACCAGTGGGTAGGTGAGCAAACAGTGTGAAATTTTAAAAAATCACAACAGGAATATTTTGATTTGTGTCTACTTAATCCTGTTTGAGGTAGGTCTATCTCACTGGTCCATCTTTTTGAACACAGTTTTGTAATTAAAATGACCTTTCTCAGACACGGCACTAGACAGTTGACCAAGCACAGCGAGAAGACCGCCACAATGGTCCATGAAGTGGAAGATTTCTATGGCGTGTACCTCCTGTACTGTCTAAACCCCAAGTATAAAGGCAGGACCTACATCGGTTACACAGTCAACCCAAACAGGCGCATCAAGCAGCACAACACTGGCTCTCACGCAGGGGGCGCCCACAGGACCAGTGGCCGTGGGCCATGGTAAGTACTGGGGTAGTGGGACCTTCATCTGTTGGGGTAGTGGGACCTTCATGTGGTGGGGTAGTGGGACCTTCATCTGGTGGGGTAGTGGGATCTTCATCTGGTGGGGTAGTGGGACCTCACATCTGTTGGGGTAGTGTGACCTTCATCTGGTGGGGTAGTGGGATCTTCATCTGTTGGGGTAGTGGGACCTCACATCTGGTGGGGTAGTAGGACCTTCATCTGTTGGGGTAGTGGGACCTTCATCTGGCGGGGTAGTGGGACCTTCATCTGGTGGGGTAGTGGGAACTTCCATCAGGTGGGGTAGTGAGACCTTCATCTGTTGGGGTAATGGGACCTTCATCTGGTGGGGTAGTGGGACCTCACATCTAATGGGGTAGTGGGACCTTCATCTGGTGGGGTAGTGGGACCTCACATCTTTTGGAGCAGTGGGACCTTCATGTGGTGGGGTAGTGGGACCTTCATCGGGTGGGGTAGTGGGACCTTCATCGGGTGGGGTAGTGGGACCTCACATCTGGTGGGGTAGTGGGATCTTCATCTGTTGGGGTAGTGGGACCTTCATCTGGTGGGGTAGTGGGATCTTCATCTGGTGGGGTAGTGGGACCTTCATCTGGTGGGGTAGTGGGAACTTCCATCAGGTGGGGTAGTGAGACCTTCATCTGTTGGGGTAGTGGGACCTTCATCTGGTGGGGTAGTGGGACCTCACATCTAATGGGGTAGTGGGACCTTCATCTGGTGGGGTAGTGGGACCTCACATCTTTTGGAGCAGTGGGACCTTCATGTGGTGGGGTAGTGGGACCTTCATCGGGTGGGGTAGTGGGACCTTCATCGGGTGGGGTAGTGGGACCTTCATCTGGTGGGGTAGTGGGACCTTCATCTGGTGGGGTAGTGGGACCTCACATCTGGTGGGGTAGTGGGACCTGGTGTGTAGCATGTGCTAGTTTTGTAATGCTCATGTTGCTGTGTTTTTTGACAGGGAAATGGTTTTGATCATTCATGGCTTCCCCAATGATGTGTCAGGTCTCAGGGTATGTTAGACTTTCTGAGACTTTCTTTTTTTTCTCTAATTCATTCACACAGTCATGTACTCAGTACCTGATCATTCTTACAGTCATGTACTCAGTACCTGATCATTCACACAGTCATGTACTCAGTACCTGATCATTCACACAGTCATGTACTCAGTGCCTGATCATTCACACAGTCATGTACTCAGTGCCTGAACATTCATAGTCATGTACTCAGTACCTGATCATTCACACAGTCATGTACTCAGTACCTGATCATTCACACAGTCATGTACTCAGTATCTGATCATTCACACAGTCATGTACTCAGTGCCTGATCATTCACACAGTCATGTACTCAGTGCCTGATCATTCACACAGTCATGTACTCAGTGCCTGATCATTCATAGTCATGTACTCAGTACCTGATCATTCACACAGTCATGTACTCAGTACCTGATCATTCAGTCATGTACTCAGTACCTGATCATTCAGTCATGTACTCAGTACCTGATCATTCAGTCATGTACTCAGTGCCTGATCATTCAGTCATGTACTCAGTACCTGATCATTAATCTCAAACTGATCTAGTGAGATGAGTGTTATCAAAAAGTCAAATGTTTCTTATGTTGTGTCTTTAGTTTGAGTGGGCGTGGCAGAACCCAGAGAAGTCCAGAAGACTGAAGGGTGTCCCAGCTAAACGCTCTAAAGAGTCGGCGTTCCAGTTTCGCTGGCGCGTGGTGTGCAACATGTTGCGGACAGCGCCATGGAATGGTCTGGCACTCACTGTCAGGTGGTTGAAGCAGGAATATCAGCAAGACTTTCCTGTAGGTATGTCATGTAGGTTTTGTTGCTAGTCCATCTATGTGATGTAGGTTTTGTTGCTGGTCCATCTATGTCATGTAGGTTTTGTTGTTGGTCCATCTATGTGATGTAGGTTTTGTTGCTGGTCCATCTATGTCATGTAGGTTTTGTTGCTGGTCCATCTATGTGATGTAGGTTTTGTTGCTGGTCCATCTATGTGATGTAGGTTTTGTTGTTGGTCCATCTATGTGATGTAGGTTTTGTTGCTGGTCCATCTATGTGATGTAGGTTTTGTTGTTGGTCTATCTATGTGATGTAGGTTTTGTTGTTGGTCTATCTATGTGATGTAGGTTTTGTTGCTGGTCCATCTAACACTATGTCCCCCATCAGCCCACCCCTCCCCCATCAGCCCACCCCTCCCCCATCAGCCCACCCCTCCCCTATGAGCCCACCCCTCCCCCATCAGCCCACCCCTCCCCCATCAGCCCACCCATCCCCCATCAGCCCACCCATCAGCCCACCCATCCCCCATCAGCCCACCCCTGATTTGATCTACCTGACAATGTACCTTGTCCACCCAGGCTTAGAACCTCCGCTACACATGCCAGTGGTTTACGGGCCAGTGGTCAGCAAGAAAATCTCCAGCCAGAAAACCTTGCAACCCTCAACTGTGCCCAGCCATGCGGAACTCAACAGGTCATGTGCCATCTGCTACAAGGACATCCAGGTGGGGACACATTCTCTCAGGGACATTCAGGTGGGGACAAATTCTCTCAGGGACATTCAGGTGGGGACAAATTCTCTCAGGGACATTCAGGTGGGGACAAATTCTCTCAGGGACATTCAGGTGGGGACAAATTCTCTCAGGGACATTCAGGTGGGGACAAATTCTCTCAGGGACATTCAGGTGGGGACAAATTCTCTCAGGGACATTCAGGTGGGGACAAATTCAGGGACATTCAGGTGGGGACAAATTCTCTCAGGGACAATCAGGTGGGGACAAATTCAGGGACATTCAGGTGGGGACAAATTCTCTCAGGGACATTCAGGTGGGGACAAATTCTCTCAGGGACATTCAGGTGGGGACAAATTCTCTCAGGGACATTCAGGTGGGGACAAATTCAGGGACATTCAGGTGGGGACAAATTCTCTCAGGGACAATCAGGTGGGGACAAATTCTCTCAGGGACATTCAGGTGGGGACAAATTCTCTCAGGGACATTCAGGTGGGGACAAATTCTCTCAGGGACATTCAGGTGGGGACAAATTCTCTCAGGGACATTCAGGTGGGGACAAATTCTCTCAGGGACATTCAGGTGGGGACAAATTCAGGGACATTCAGGTGGGGACAAATTCTCTCAGGGACATTCAGGTGGGGACAAATTCAGGGACATTCAGGTGGGGACAAATTCTCTCAGGGACAATCAGGTGGGGACAAATTCAGGGACATTCAGGTGGGGACAAATTCTCTCAGGGACAATCAGGTGGGGACAAATTCTCTCAGGGACATTCAGGTGGGGACAAATTCAGGGACATTCAGGTGGGGACAAATTCTCTCAGGGACATTCAGGTGGGGACAAATTCTCTCAGGACATCCAGGGGGGACAAATTCTCTCAGGGACATTCAGGTGGGGACACATTCTCTCAGGGACATTCAGGTGGGGACAAATTCTCTCAGGGACAATCAGGTGGGGACAAATTCAGGGACATTCAGGTGGGGACAAATTCAGGGACATTCAGGTGGGGACAAATTCTCTCAGGGACATTCAGGTGGGGACAAATTCTCTCAGGGACATTCAGGTGGGGACAAATTCTCTCAGGGACATTCAGGTGGGGACAAATTCAGGGACATTCAGATGGGGACAAATTCTCTCAGGGACATTCAGGTGGGGACAAATTCTCTCAGGACATCCAGGGGGGGACAAATTCTCTCAGGGACATTCAGGTGGGGACAAATTCAGGGACATTCAGGTGGGGACAAATTCTCTCAGGGACATTTAGGTGGGGACAAATTCAGGGACATTCAGGTGGGGACACATTCTCTCAGGGACATTCAGGTGGGGACAAATTCTCTCAGGGACATTCAGGTGGGGACAAATTAAGGGACATTCAGGTGGGGACAAATTCTCTCAGGGACATTCAGGTGGGGACAAATTCAGGGACATTCAGGTGGGGACAAATTCTCTCAGGGACATTCAGGTGGGGACAAATTCTCTCAGGGACATTCAGATGGGGACAAATTCTCTCAGGGACATTCAGGTGGGGACAAATTCTCTCAGGGACATTCAGATGGGGACAAATTCTCTCAGGGACATTTAGGTGGGGACAAATTCTCTCAGGGACATTTAGGTGGGGACAAATTCTCTCAGGGACATTTAGGTGGGGACAAATTCTCTCAGGGACATTCAGGTGGGGACAAATTCTCTCAGGGACATTCAGGTGGGGACAAATTCTCTCAGGGACATTCAGGTGGGGACAAATTCAGGGACATTCAGGTGGGGACAAATTCTCTCAGGGACATTCAGGTGGGGACAAATTCTCTCAGGGACAATCAGGTGGGGACAAATTCTCTCAGGAACATTCAGATGGGGACAAATTCTCTCAGGGACATTCAGATGGGGACAAATTCTCTCAGGGACATTCAGGTGGGGACAAATTCAGGGACATTCAGGTGGGGACAAATTCTCTCAGGGACATTCAGGTGGGGACAAATTCTCTCAGGGACATTCAGGTGGGGACAAATTCTCTCAGGGACATTCAGGTGGGGACAAATTCTCTCAGGGACATTCAGGTGGGGACAAATTCAGGGACATTCAGGTGGGGACAAATTCTCTCAGGGACATTCAGGTGGGGACAAATTCTCTCAGGGACAATCAGGTGGGGACAAATTCTCTCAGGGACATTCAGGTGGGGACAAATTCTCTCAGGGACATTCAGGTGGGGACAAATTCTCTCAGGGACATTCAGGTGGGGACAAATTCTCTCAGGGACATTCAGGTGGGGACAAATTCTCTCAGGGACATTCAGGTGGGGACAAATTCTCTCAGGGACATTCAGGTGGGGACAAATTCTCTCAGGGACATTCAGGTGGGGACAAATTCTCTCAGGGACATTCAGGTGGGGACAAATTCTCTCAGGGACATTCAGGTGGGGACAAATTCTCTCAGGGACATTCAGGTGGGGACAAATTCTCTCAGGGACATTCAGGTGGGGACAAATTCTCTCAGGGACATTCAGGTGGGGACAAATTCTCTCAGGGACAATCAGGTGGGGACAAATTCTCTCAGGGACATTCAGGTGGGGACAAATTCTCTCAGGGACATTCAGGTGGGGACAAATTCTCTCAGGGACATTTAGGTGGGGACAAATTCAGGGACATTCAGGTGGGGACAAATTCAGGGACATTCTGGTGGGGACAAATTCAGGGACATTCAGGTGGGGACAAATTCTCTCAGGGACATTCAGGTGGGGACAAATTCTCTCAGGGACATTCAGGGGGGGACAAATTCTCTCAGGGACATTCAGGTGGGGACAAATTCAGGGACATTCAGATGGGGACAAATTCTCTCATGGACATTCAGGTGGGGACAAATTCAGGGACATTCAGGTGGGGACAAATTCTCTCAGGGACATTCAGGTGGGGACAAATTCTCTCAGGGACATTCAAGTGGGGACAAATTCTCTCAGGGACATTCAGGTGGGGACAAATTCTCTCAGGGACATTCAGGTGGGGACAAATTCTCTCAGGGACATTCAGGTGGGGACAAATTCTCTCAGGGACATTCAGGTGGGGACAAATTCTCTCAGGGACATTCAGGTGGGGACAAATTCTCTCAGGGACATTCAGGTGGGGACAAATTCTCTCAGGGACATTCAGGTGGGGACAAATTCTCTCAGGGACATTCAGGTGGGGACAAATTCTCTCAGGGACATTCAGGTGGGGACAAATTCTCTCAGGGACATTCAGGTGGGGACAAATTCTCTCAGGGACATTCAGGTGGGGACAAATTCTCTCAGGGACATTCAGGTGGGGACAAATTCTCTCAGGGACATTCAGGTGGGGACAAATTCTCTCAGGGACATTCAGGTGGGGACAAATTCTCTCAGGGACATTCAGGTGGGGACAAATCTCTCAGGGACAATCAGGTGGGGACAAATTCTCTCAGGGACATTCAGGTGGGGACAAATTCTCTCAGGGACATTCAGGTGGGGACAAATTCTCTCAGGGACATTTAGGTGGGGACAAATTCTCTCAGGGACATTCAAGTGGGGACAAATTCAGGGACATTCAGGTGGGGACAAATTCAGGGACATTCAGGTGGGGACAAATTCAGGGACATTCTGGTGGGGACAAATTCAGGGACATTCAGGTGGGGACAAATTCTCTCAGGGACATTCAGGTGGGGACAAATTCTCTCAGGGACATTCAGGTGGGGACAAATTCTCTCAGGGACATTCAGGTGGGGACAAATTCTCTCAGGGACATTCAGGTGGGGACAAATTCAGGGACATTCAGGTGGGGACAAATTCTCTCAGGGACATTCAGGTGGGGACAAATTCAGGGACAATCAGGTGGGGACAAATTCAGGTGGGGACAAATTCAGGGACATTCAGGTGGGGACAAATTCTCTCAGGGACATTCAGGTGGGGACAAATTCTCTCAGGGACAATCAGGTGGGGACAAATTCTCTCAGGGACATTCAGGTGGGGACAAATTCTCTCAGGGACATTCAGGTGGGGACAAATTCTCTCAGGGACATTCAGGTGGGGACAAATTCTCTCAGGGACATTCAGGTGGGGACAAATTCAGGGACAATCAGGTGGGGACAAATTCTCTCAGGGACATTCAGGTGGGGACAAATTCAGGGACATTCAGGTGGGGACAAATTCTTTCAGGACATCCAGGTGGGGACAAATTCAGGGACAATCAGGTGGGGACAAATTCTCTCAGGGACATTCAGGTGGGGACAAATTCAGGGACATTCAGGTGGGGACAAATTCTTTCAGGACATCCAGGTGGGGACAAATTCAGGGACATTCAGATGGGGACAAATTCTCTCAGGGACATTCAGGTGGGGACAAATTCTCTCAGATCATGTGCCATCTCTTATTTTGTGCACTATGCCCCCCCCCCTCCCCATGGTATGGTCCCAGCAGACAGATCTCTTGTAGAGATGTAGCCACCTTTGATCCTCTTCATTAAGGACATTCCATCAGACCATCTCAGAAAATGTTTAGAATCAAATCAATTTGTTGCCACCAGGAAATGTTTACATCAGTTTCCTAGAGTAAGAAAGATTTTATGATGTGTCTAAGTTTGTTTCCTAGACTAAGAAAGATTTTATGATGTGTCTAAGTTTGTTTCCTAGACTAAGAAAGATTTTATGATGTGTCTAAGTTTATTTCTTAGAGTAAGAAAGATTTTATGATGTGTCTAAGTTTATTTCTTAGAGTAAGAAAGATTTTATGATGTGTCTAAGTTTATTTCCTAGAGTAAGAAAGATTTTATGTGTCTAAGTTTATTTCTTAGAGTAAGAAAGATTTTATGATGTGTCTAAGTTTGTTTCCTAGACTAAGAAAGATTTTATGATGTGTCTAAGTTTATTTCTTAGAGTAAGAAAGATTTTATGATGTGTCTAAGTTTATTTCTTAGAGTAAGAAAGATTTTATGATGTGTCTAAGTTTATTTCTTAGAGTAAGAAAGATTTTATGATGTGTCTAAGTTTATTTCCTAGAGTAAGAAAGATTTTATGATGTGTCTAAGTTTATTTCTTAGAGTAAGAAAGATTTTATGATGTGTCTAGGTTTATTTCTTAGAGTAAGAAAGATTTTATGATGTGTCTAAGTTTATTTCTTAGAGTAAGAAAGATTTTATGATGTGTCTAAGTTTATTTCCTAGCTTAGGAAAGATTTTATGATGTGTCTAAGTTTATTTCCTAGAGTAAGAAAGAGTTTATGTTGTGTCTAAGTTTGTTTCCTAGAGTAAGAAAGATTTTATGATGTGTCTAAGTTTGTTTCTTAGAGTAAGAAAGATTTTATGATGTGTCTAAGTCCCTAGAGTAAGAAAGATTTTATGATGTGTCTAAGTTTGTTTCTTAGAGTAAGAAAGATTTTATGATGTGTCTAAGTCCCTAGAGTAAGAAAGATTTTATGATGTGTCTAAGTTTATTTCTTAGAGTAAGAAAGATTTTATGATGTGTCTAAGTTTGTTTCTTAGAGTAAGAAAGATTTTATGATGTGTCTAAGTTTATTTCTTAGAGTAAGAAAGATTTTATGATGTGTCTAAGTTTATTTCCTAGAGTAAGAAAGATTTTATGTGTCTAAGTTTATTTCCTAGACTAAGAAAGACTTTTTGGTGTGTCTAAGTTTATTTCCTAGACTAAGAAAGATTTTATGATGTGTCTAAGTTTATTTCTTAGAGTAAGAAAGATTTTATGATGTGTCTAAGTTTATTTCCTAGAGTAAGAAAGATTTTATGATGTGTCTAAGTTTATTTCCTAGAATAAGAAAGATTTTATGTGTCTAAGTGTATTTCTTAGAGTAAGAAAGATTTTATGATGTGTCTAAGTTTATTTCTTAGAGTAAGAAAGATTTTATGATGTGTCTAAGTTTATTTCTTAGAGTAAGAAAGATTTTATGATGTGTCTAAGTTTATTTCTTAGAGTAAGAAAGATTTTATGATGTGTCTAAGTTTATTTCTTAGAGTAAGAAAGATTTTATGATGTGTCTAAGTTTATTTCTTAGAGTAAGAAAGATTTTATGATGTGTCTAAGTTTATTTCTTAGAGTAAGAAAGACTTTATGATGTGTCTAAGTTTATTTCTTAGAGTAAGAAAGATTTTATGATGTGTCTAAGTTTATTTCTTAGAGTAAGAAAGATTTTATGATGTGTCTAAGTTCATTTCTTAGAGTAAGAAAGATTTTATGATGTGTCTAAGTTTATTTCCTAGAGTAAGAAAGATTTTATGATGTGTCTAAGTTTATTGCCTAGAATAAGAAAGATTTTATGATGTGTCTAAGTTTATTTCTTAGAGTAAGAAAGATTTTATGATGTGTCTAAGTTTATTTCTTAGAGTAAGAAAGATTTTATGATGTGTCTAAGTTTATTTCTTAGAGTAAGAAAGATTTTATGATGTGTCTAAGTTTATTTCTTAGAGTAAGAAAGATTTTATGATTTGTCTAAGTTTATTTCCTAGAGTAAGAAAGATTTTATGATGTGTCTAAGTTTATTTCTTAGAGTAAGAAAGATTTTATGATGTGTCTAAGTTTATTTCCTAGAGTAAGAAAGATTTTTTATTAGATGAATTTTTCCAGCATGCAGAAAATGTTTTGAGCTGTCTGAATTTTTCCAGCAGGCAGAAAATGTTTTGAGCTGTCTGAATTTTTCCAGCAGGCAGAAAATGTTTTGAGCTGTCTGAATTTTTCCAGCAGGCAGAAAATGTTTTGAGCTGTCTGAATTTTTCCAGCAGGCAGAAAATGTTTTGAGCTGTCTGAATTTTTCCAGCAGGCAGAAAATGTTTTGAGCTGTCTGAATTTTTCCAGCAGGCAGAAAATGTTTTGAGCTGTCTGAATTTTTCCAGCAGGCAGAAAATGTTTTGAGCTGTCTGAATTTTTCCAGCAGGCAGAAAATGTTTTGAGCTGTCTGAATTTTTCCAGCAGGCAGAAAATGTTTTGAGCTGTCTGAAGCCGTGCTGTAAGATGGTTGCCCACCTGACCTGTCTGGCCGGACACTTCCTGGATGACCCGGCCAGACTTCTGCCAGTGGAGGGCAAGTGTCCGTCATGCCAAGTTGGCTTGCTGTGGGGCGAGTTGATCAGACAGAAGAAAGGTTGTCACACAAACTTGTCCAGCATTCAGGTCTGTCCTCACCTGCTTTTTATTTACTCACTAGATCTCTAGTTTATTACTCTCTAAACTTGATGTACTCTCTAAACTTGATGTACTCTCTAAACTTGATGTACTCTCTAAACTTGATGTACTCTCCAAACTTGATGTACTCTCTAAACTTGATGTACTCTCTAAACTTGATGTACTCTCTAAACTTGATGTACTCTCCAAACTTGATGTACTCTCTAAACTTGATGTACTCTCCAAACTTGATGTACTCTCTAAACTTGATGTACTCTCTAAACTTGATGTTCTCTCTAAACTTGATGTTCTCTCTAAACTTGATGTTCTCTCTAAACTTGATGTTCTCTCTAAACTTGATGTACTCTAAAAATTTGACGTACTTGTAAAAAACATGGTATGTCTAGATGTCCCAGTAATATAGGCTGTCTGTGTCCTGCAGGATCATTTAGCTCCACTCAGTGAGGGGGATGATAGCAGCTGACCAACAGGTGACAAACAGCTGACCAACAGCTGACCAACAGGTGGCCAACAGCTGACCAACAGGTGGCCAACAGCTGACCAGCATGTGGCCAACAGCTGACTAGCAGGTGGCCAACAGCTGACCAGCAAGTGGCCAACAGCTGACCAACAGGTGGCCAACAGCTGACCAGCATGTGCCAACAGCTGACCAACAGGGGGCCAACAGCTGACCAGCATATGGCCAATAGCTGACCAGCAAGTGGTAGTACTACTATTACACAAAGTAGAAGAATCAGTGGTGACCAAAATGAAAGCTGCCTCCCATCAATTACAGCCATGGACAACTTTTGTTTGTTTGTTTGTTTGTTTGTTTGTTTGTTTGTTTGTTTGTTTGTTTATCACTTGAACATTAAGCAAAACCACAATTTATGCCTTGAAACCATTAAATACAAATCTATATATATATTTATATATAAGTATATAAACTTGTATAACCACTCATTACATAGGTTCTATGAATCTAGACTTAAAACAAAAGTTGAAACCAACCCCCTCCCCCACCCTAATGACAAAATCTTGGCTCTGCCACTGATAAGAAGCCTAATGGTGTCCGCTGAGCTTATCACAAAATCTTGGCTCTGCCACTGATAAGAAGCCTAATGGTGTCCGCTGAGCTTATCACAAAATACTAAGGCACAACAAATGACTGAGATTTTTTTTTTTAACTCAAACTTTCAGTCAGTTGAGATGACATTTTATTTACAATGTATAGGCCAAATGTTTAGGTACAGCCCAATGTTTTTGTTTAGGTACAGCCCAATGTTTTTGTTTAGGTACAGCCCAATGTTTTTGTTTAGCCAAATGTTGTTTAGGTACAGCCCAATGTTTTTGTTTAGCCAAATGTTGTTTAGGTACAGCCCAATGTTTTTGTTTAGGTACAGCCCAATGTTTTTGTTTAGGTACAGCCCAATGTTTTTGTTTAGGTACAGCCCAATGTTTTTGTTTAGGTACAGCCCAATGTTTTTGTTTAGGTACAGCCCAATGTTTTTGTTTAGCCAAATGTTGTTTAGGTACAGCCCAATGTTTTTGTTTAGCCAAATGTTGTTTAGGTACAGCCCAATGTTTTTGTTTAGGTACAGCCCAATGTTTTTGTATAGGCCAAATGTTTAGGTACAGCCCAATGTTTTTGTTTAGCCAAATGTTGTTTAGGTACAGCCCAATGTTTTTGTTTAGGTACAGCCCAATGTTTTTGTATAGGCCAAATGTTTAGGTACAGCCCAATGTTTTTGTTTAGCCAAATGTTGTTTAGGTACAGCCCAATGTTTTTGTTTAGCCAAATGTTGTTTAGGTACAGCCCAATGTTTTTGTTTAGCCAAATGTTGTTTAGGTACAGCCCAATGTTTTTGTTTAGCCAAATGTTGTTTAGGTACAGCCCAATGTTTTTGTTTAGCCAAATGTTGTTTAGGTACAGCCCAATGTTTTTGTTTAGCCAAATGTTGTTTAGGTACAGCCCAATGTTTTTGTTTAGCCAAATGTTGTTTAGGTACAGCCCAATGTTTTTGTTTAGGTACAGCCCAATGTTTTTGTTTAGCCAAATGTTGTTTAGGTACAGCCCAATGTTTTTGTTTAGCCAAATGTTGTTTAGGTACAGCCCAATGTTTTTGTTTAGGTACAGCCCAATGTTTTTGTATAGGCCAAATGTTTAGGTACAGCCCAATGTTTTTGTTTAGCCAAATGTTTAGGTACAGCCCAATGTTTTTGTATAGGCCAAATGTTTAGGTACAGCCCAATGTTTTTGTATAGGCCAAATGTTTAGGTACAGCCCAATGTTTTTGTATAGGCCAAATGTTTAGGTACAGCCCAATGTTTTTGTATAGGCCAAATGTTTAGGTACAGCCCAATGTTTTTGTATAGGCCAAATGTTTAGGTACAGCCCAATGTTTTTGTTTAGGTACAGCCCAATGTTTTTGTTTAGCCAAATGTTTAGGTACAGCCCAATGTTTTTGTTTAGCCAAATGTTTAGGTACAGCCCAATGTTTTTGTATAGGCCAAATGTTTAGGTACAGCCCAATGTTTTTGTATAGGCCAAATGTTTAGGTACAGCCCAATGTTTTTGTTTAGGTACAGCCCAATGTTTTTGTTTAGCCAAATGTTTAGGTACAGCCCAATGTTTTTGTATAGGCCAAATGTTTAGGTACAGCCCAATGTTTTTGTATAGGCCAAATGTTTAGGTACAGCCCAATGTTTTTGTTTAGCCAAATGTTTAGGTACAGCCCAATGTTTTTGTTTAGCCAAATGTTTAGGTACAGCCGAAAAGTCACATGACTTTTGTACATTTATCCAGTTCTAATGTTTACATTTAACCTTTAGGTCTTGTAACAATTTACTGAGTTTTTGTGTACCATAACTTCATGGTCTTTTTACTTCTTGTCCCATAACTCACACTCATGTCCCATAACTCACACCCATGTCCCATAACTCACATGTCCCATAACTCACATTCATGTCCCATAACTCACACTCATGTCCCATAACTCACACTCATGTACCATAACTCACATTCATGTCCCATAACTCACATTCATGTCCCATAACACACACACACACATGTCCCATAACTCACACTCATGTCCCATAACTCACTCATGTCCCATAACTCACACTCATGTCCCATAACTCACACTCATGTCCCATAACTCACACTCATGTCCCATAACTCACACTCATGTCCCATAACTCACACTCATGTCCCATAACTCACATGTCCCATAACACATACTCATGTCCCATAACTCACATGTCCCATAACACACACACATGTCCCATAACACATACTCATGTCCCATAACTCACATGTCCCATAACACACACACATGTCCCATAACTCACACTCATGTCCCATAACTCACGTCCCATAACTCACATGTCCCATAACTCACATGTCCCATAACTCACACATGTCCCATAACACACACTCATGTCTCATAACTCACACTCATGTCTCATAACTCACACTCATGTCTCATAACTCACACATGTCCCATAACTCACACTCATGTCTCATAACTCACACATGTCCCATAACTCACACACATGTCCCATAACTCACACACATGTCCCATAACTCACACTCATGTCCCATAACTCACACTCATGTCCCATAACTCACATTCATGTCCCATAACTCACATTCATGTCCCATAACACACACTCATGTCCCATAACTCACATGTCCCATAACACACACACATGTCCCATAACTCACACTCATGTCCCATAACTCACGTCCCATAACTCACATGTCCCATAACTCACATGTCATGTCCCATAACTCACACTCATGTCCCATAACTCACATGTCCCATAACTCACATGTCCCATAACTCACACTCATGTCCCATAACTCACATTCATGTCCCATAACTCACACTCATGTCCCATAACTCACACACTCATGTCCTATAACTCACACTCATGTCCCATAACTCACATGCCCCATAACTCATACTCATGTCCCATAACTCACACATGTCCCATAACTCACACTCATGTCCCATAACTCACATGTCCCATAACTCATACTCATGTCCCATAACTCACACATGTCCCATAACTCACACTCATGTCCCATAACTCACACTCATGTCCTATAACTCACACTCATGTCCCATAACTCACACATGTCCCATAACTCACATGTCCCATAACTCACATGTCCCATAACTCACACTCATGTCCCATAACTCACACTCATGTCCTATAACTCACACTCATGTCCCATAACTCACACATGTCCCATAACTCACACTCATGTCCCATAACTCACACTCATGTCCTATAACTCACACTCATGTCCCATAACTCACACACATGTCCCATAACTCACACTCATGTCCCATAACTCACATGTCCCATAACTCACACTCATGTCCCATAACTCACACTCATGTCCCATAATTCACCATCTGATATCTTTAAAGAAAAAAACAACCAATGCTTAGCTTCAGGATGTAAGAAATATTTGTAATGACTCATTATATTTACAAAATCTTGAGTCTTGCGGTAAAAACTGAGCATAAATGACCATATTGATATGATTTTACTTTAATATAACTGTAAATTAGAATATATCTGTCAAATCCAAGTTGATAAAATGTTCCAGGTATTTATGTACAAACTTTTCTTGTCCCCAATTGTGAATGTTTTCAACTTTTAGCTGGTCTTGTCAGTTACATGCATACACTTACATTATTATTTACGCATACAAATTACATTACATACATATTAGTTTATAATGATTCATTCATACAAATTACATGAGGCCTACTTACAATGTTCCCTCTACGGGGGAAAAGCTAGTGTGCAAATCAAGTGCGTGGCAGCGCAACTGCACAGCTTAGAGGGAACATTGCCTACTAATTATTTTGTGGTGCAATTTACAGTTAAATATGATCTACTTATACAATTGAAATGACATTTATTCATACAAATACATATTTGCTCATACAAATGATATAGTTCCCTGTGAAATTGATATGACATAATTGTCTAAAGCTGCTTTCATATGAACTTCATTGTTTATCAAATGTACCAATAAAAATTATTGAAATAAGAAATGTTTTAATAAAGTCTAATACAATCTATTGTTTCAGACTGAGTTTTTTTTAAAACTAATAATGTACCCTGTAACTGTACCCTACAACTGTACCCTGTAACCACTACTGTAACTACTTAACAACTGTACCCTACAACTGTACCCTGTAACTACCCTACACTTGTAACTACAACTACCCTGTGACTGTACCCTACAACTTTACCCTACAACTGTACCCTACAACTGTACACTGTAACTACCCTACACCTGTAACTACAACTACCCTGTGACTGTACCCTACAACTGTACCCTACAACTGTACCCTATGCCGTTGTTCCAACTCTTTAAGATTTCTTATCTCTTGTAAAATTTGGAAGCTTGAAGTTGAACTCCCCAGGGAGGGGTGTGCGTGGTGTTTTGGGGCTCCTGTTTTTTCTTGACTCGGGTTGGATGACAGGGAACCTTTTAAAAAGAATAATATCAAGTGGCAGCGTATGTGAATAATATCAAGTGGCAGCGTATGTGAAGAATTGTATCGTAGCAGCATATGTGAATAATTGTATGGTAGCAGCATATGTGAATAATTGTATAGTGGCAGCATATGTGAATAATAGTATGGTAGCAGCATTTGTGAATAATTGTATAGTGGCAGCATATGTGAATAATTGTATAGTGGCAGCATATGTGAAGAATTGTATAGTGGCATCATATGTGAATAATTGTATGGTAGCAGCATATGTGAAGAATTGTACAGTGGCAGCATATGTGAAGAATTGTATAGTAGCAGCATATGTGAAGAATTGTATGGTAGCAGCATATGTGAAGAATTGTATAGAGGCAGCATATGTGAAGAATTGTATAGTGGCAGCGTATGTGAATAATTGTATGGTAGCAGCATATGTGAAGAATTGTATGGTAGCAGCATATGTGAAGAATTGTACAGTGGCAGCATATGTGAAGAATTGTATGGTAGCAGCATATGTGAAGAATTGTATGGTAGCAGCATATGTGAAGAATTGTATAGTGGCAGCATATGTGAATAATTGTATAGTAGCAGCATTATGTGAATAATTGTATAGTAGCAGCATATGTGAAGAATTGTATAGTGGCAGCATATGTGAAGAATTGTATAGTGGCAGCATATGTGAATAATTGTATAGTGGCAGCGTATTTTGTATGTGAATGACCATATAAAGTCTGACCTGACAGCTGGCAGTGACCACTGACATGACAGCTGGCAGTGACCACTGACATGACAGCTGGCAGTGACTACTGACATGACAGCTGGCAGTGACTACTGACATGACAGCTGACAGTGACACTGTTCCACTAACCTGGCAGCAAACAGCTTGTCTGACCACGTGACCGGCAGGTTGCTGATGACGAAGGCACGGAGTCTGTACTTCCAGTACGGCACGTAGCGGTAGCTGGGGTGCTCAGCACACACCGCCTCAACCATGTTGTCAACCACCTACAGTAAAACAACCATGTTGTCAACCACCTACAGTAAAACAACCATGTTGTCAACCACCTACAGTAAAACAACCATGTCAACCACCTACAGTAAAACAACCATGTCAACCAACTACAGTAAAACAACTATGTCAACCACCTACAGTAAAACAACCATGTTGTCAACCACCTACAGTAAAACAACCATGTCAACCACCTACAGTAAAACAACCATGTCAACCACCTACAGTAAAACAACCATGTTGTCAACCACCTACAGTAAAACAACCATGTCAACCAACTACAGTAAAACAACTATGTCAACCACCTACAGTAAAACAACCATGTCAACCACCTACAGTAAAACAACCATGTCAACCACCTACAGTAAAACAACCATGTCAACCACCTACAGTAAAACAACCATGTTGTCAACCACCTACAGTAAAACAACCATGTTGTCAACCACCTACAGTAAAACAACCATGTCAACCACCTACAGTAAAACAACCATGTCAACCAACTACAGTAAAACAACTATGTCAACCACCTACAGTAAAACAACCATGTTGTCAACCACCTACAGTAAAACAACCATGTCAACCACCTACAGTAAAACAACCATGTCAACCACCTACAGTAAAACAACCATGTTGTCAACCACCTACAGTAAAACAACCATGTCAACCAACTACAGTAAAACAACTATGTCAACCACCTACAGTAAAACAACCATGTTGTCAACCACCTACAGTAAAACAACCATGTCAACCACCTACAGTAAAACAACCATGTCAACCACCTACAGTAAAACAACCATGTTGTCAACCACCTACAGTAAAACAACCATGTTGTCAACCACCTACAGTAAAACAACCATGTTGTCAACCACCTACAGTAAAACAACCATGTTGTCAACCACCTACAGTAAAACAACCATGTCAACCACCTACAGTAAAACAACCATGTTGTCAACCACCTACAGTAAAACAACCATGTTGTCAACCACCTACAGTAAAACAACCATGTCAACCACCTACAGTAAAACAACCATGTTGTCAACCACCTACAGTAAAACAACCATGTCAACCACCTACAGTAAAACAACCATGTCAACCACCTACAGTAAAACAACCATGTTGTCAACCAACTACAGTAAAACAACTATGTCAACCACCTACAGTAAAACAACCATGTTGTCAACCACCTACAGTAAAACAACCATGTCAACCACCTACAGTAAAACAACCATGTCAACCACCTACAGTAAAACAACCATGTTGTCAACCACCTACAGTAAAACAACCATGTTGTCAACCACCTACAGTAAAACAACCATGTCAACCACCTACAGTAAAACAACCATGTCAACCACCTACAGTAAAACAACTATGTTGTCAACCACCTACAGTAAAACAACCATGTCAACCACCTACAGTAAAACAACCATGTTGTCAACCACCTACAGTAAAACAACCATGTCAACCACCTACAGTAAAACAACCATGTTGTCAACCACCTACAGTAAAACAACCATGTCAACCACCTACAGTAAAACAACCATGTTGTCAACCACCTACAGTAAAACAACCATGTCAACCACCTACAGTAAAACAACCATGTTGTCAACCACCTACAGTAAAACAACCATGTCAACCACCTACAGTAAAACAACCATGTTGTCAACCACCTACAGTAAAACAACCATGTCAACCACCTACAGTAAAACAACCATGTTGTCAACCACCTACAGTAAAACAACCATGTTGTCAACCACCTACAGTAAAACAACCATGTCAACCACCTACAGTAAAACAACCATGTCAACCACCTACAGTAAAACAACCATGTCAACCACCTACAGTAAAACAACCATGTCAACCACCTACAGTAAAACAACCATGTTGTCAACCACCTACAGTAAAACAACCATGTCAACCCCCCCCCCCCCTAGAGTAAAACAACCATATGGACCCCCCCCCCCCCCCCGAGTTGTCGACCCCCACCCCTAAAGTAAAACAACCATGTTGTCCACTCCCTGAGTAAAACCACCATATCCACCCCACCCCCACAGTTAAACAACCTTGTTACCAACCACTTAGTCACTTTCAGTAATGCCCCCCCCCCCCCAGAAAGCAACCGGTGACGCCCACTGACCTCCTGTACGTTGGGGCGGGCCTGTCTTAGACTGAGGGTGACCTGTTTGAGGAAGGCGTCGAAGTACTCCTCACCGTAGTCAGCTCGCACATCTGTGGGGGTCTCGGCCCAGGACTTCCGGTTGTGGTCAATCAGGACATTCTCCAGGGTGATCGGCGTCCTGTGGGGGGGGGGGGGGACAGTAGTCGGTTAGCCAACACAGCCTCGGTTTCACTTCAACCACTGAACAACACCCTACACATTCTGTGCAGCCTAAGTTGTAAGATTCGGCCTAGATTAGCCATCTGTGACTACACAGGACTGGTGGGTCGGTGTATTACGGGGGGGGGGGGGGGGGCGGGGCGGGTTTTATCGTCTGCTAAGATCTACAAAACTTGTAATGGGGTGTGGGGGTCAAAGTTCAGAAAACACCCGTGAACATTTCTAAGTGGCTATAACATGACTGAGATATCATGCAAGAACTTGCTGTATGTTAGATGACACCCTACAATCCTATTTATAATGACTTCATATAATATCTCTCTATGTAATGTTGGCATGTAACATGACTTCATATAATATCTCTCTATGTAATGTTGGCATGTAACATGACTTCATATAATATCTCTCTATGTAATGTTTGCATGTAACTGAGATGTAAAACTCTTACATGGCTCATGAAAAAAACAATGAAAAAAGTAGGTCATAGTTCGGTACACAAAACTTCTGGGTAGATTTGGGTCAAGTGTACCAGGTGTACACATTTATCGGGCTTATGGCTTAGCTCAGTACACATTCAATGGGCTAATGGCTAAGCTCAGTACACAATCATTGGGCTTATGGCTTTAGTTAAGTACACAAACAATTACACGTGACTAGACAGTTGTACACCAGGTGTACAAGCAGCCTGTCAGATGTGTACATGAGAAGGTGGACGTACTTGTACAAGCCCGGTTCGATGGTGATGACGGAAATGTTGAACTTCTTCATCTCTTGCCGGAGGGCGTCTGAGAAGGCAATACAGGCTTTTTTGGACATGGAGTAGGCGGCGAAGGCAGGCAGGGTGAAGCGACCTGGGGGAGCAAGAGTAGCGTCAGCTACACACGGTAGATCACCACAGTGTGTAGTCTGTGTGTTGTGGTGTGTTACGTTATGTGTGTCATATGCGTATAGAAGTGTGTCGTTATGTGTAGGGGTGTCACATGTGATGTGTGTGTGGCGGTGTGTGTGCGTGGTGGTGTATGGCGGTGTGTGTGTGTGTGTGGTGATGTGTGTGGCGGTGTGGATGTGTGGCGTCATTACCTGCTAGACTGGCCACGTTGATGACGCGACCCTCCGACTGACGCAGCAGGGGCAAGAAACCCTTGGTGACGCGGACGATGCCGAAGACGTTGACGTCCATGATCTTCTGGAACTCCTGCACGGCGCACCACTCGATCTCACAGAACACGGCCACGCCTGCATTGTTGACCACTGCCCACAGCTCTGGGGGAGGGAGGGGGGAGAGGTTACATTGTTTGAACAACCAAATCATCTGAAGTTTCCAGCTAACGACAACATCAACTTGACCGTAACTTTAACCAGCTGACTGTAACCTACCGACCTATGCAGCACTAAACTTTGAACCAAGTTCCAGGAGTTTATTTCAAGCGTGACAGTGAGGGAGTGACTATCTAACTAAATGACATGGCATCGTGTTGACATTTTAGCGAAAGATGACATCTGAACTTGATGTCATTCACATCCGCTTTTTACCCCTACCCCCTAAGCTTTGAACCCCATTCACTGCATCCCACACTCACCGTTAACCCCACTCACCTTTGACCCCACTCACCTTTGACCTCCCATAAACTTTTGACCCCCACTCACCTTTGACCCCAACTCACCTTTGACCCCAACTCACCTTTGACCCCACTCACCTTTGACCTCCCATAAACTTTTGACCCCCACTCACCTTTGACCCCAACTCACCTTTGACCCCCCCACTCACCTTTGACCCCCACTCACCATTGACCCCGATGTTGTCCTTGACATACTTGACCGCCTGCTCCACCTGGAAGTCGTCAGTGACGTCAACCTTGACGATGTGCAGACGATCTGACGTCGACTCCTTCAGGGAGCGCGCGCCCTCTCGGTCGGGCGCGAGACAGCCAGCGAACACGTGATACCCGATCCTGTCCAGACGTTCGGCCAGTTCTCGGCCAAATCCCGAGTCACAGCCTGGGGGGGGGGGGAGATCAAATCAATCAAGGTCAGCTTCATTAAGGTCATCAACTGATAGAATCTTCTGGGAATTAGAGTAACCCCAGGAACATGGCAGCAAGATTACACCCCCCCCCCAATACATCCGGCTTAAGGCAAAGATTTTGTCAGCTACAAAAATAACTCCACACACCAGTAGCCTACCACACATAGTGTGTTTCATAGCTGACCTCACATGCTGATGGGGGGGGAGGTGCGGGGTTTTGATGTATTGAACTCATCATTTGAGCTTATAAATCGGCTACCAGAATCACTTCTACGACCTTGACCCAAAGTCTCAAAAATCTGGGTCGTGGCTCATACCTGACCAGAGTTTCGTTGTAGATATGGTCGCTGTGTGCTATAGGACAGACAGTAGGACAGACAGGAGGACAGACAGTAGGACAGACAGGAGGACATTCAGTGGGACACACAGTAGGATAGAAAAGCTACTCACTGCACACACACCCCCCCCCCCACACACACCCCCCCCCCCCCACCCCTGTTACTAAGTTCAGCATTAACCTCAGAAATCTTTTTTAAAATTTCTTTGTTTCTTTTTACTTTCTCGTTTACATAGTATAGAGGAAGTTTTGTAATTGTGCACAATTAACTGAAATTTTGACAGTTTTCGCCGTTTTATTTGGTCAACTTCGAATTTGTAAAATCTACCAACTTTTGAGCGATTTTCGGTAACCGGAAGTGATACCTACTCTACTTCAGGTCCCACAAAAGCCGGTAACTTGAGTATCATTAACGTTAGGTAGACAAAACTACACACCAAAGTATTATGCGCAGGTTTTTTATCAACTTTTGAGCGATTTTCGGTAACCGAAAGTGGTACTTAACTCTGTTTCTTTAGTTAGGAGTTTGTGATCTCATATTTTAGTCAAAGATCGTATACTTGTATCAATTTCAATTTTTGAGTGACTTCCGATATCCGAAAGTGGTACTTTATTCTATTTCTGGTTTCTAAAAATAATACTAAAATACCAAGTAACCGGAAGTAATACTTTAAGCTATTTCCGATTTCTAAAAAGGGAATCAATGTTCCGCTCAATTATAGTCCCACTGAGTTTATGGGCAATTTTTTTTTTATCTAGGCGATTCTGTTCTGTTTAAACATTAAAATATTTAAAACATTTCTATATCGCTTCCAATGTCAAACTTTATATTATCATAAGCGAATATACGAGAAAGTTTTGGGAGTTTTTCCAACACAACACCGTTCACCTAAGCAAACACCCCCAAACCGAATCCCCCCCACCGAACCCACCGAACCCAACACCCCCCCCCCCCCCCAATACCCCCACCCCAACCCGGCTCCAGGTTTGTTTATGTTGGGTGTGAGTAAACAAATGGCGCTTTGTGCCGCGGCGATAGTGTAAAGGGTTGAACTGGGTCCCACATGTTGCTCGCTAGTGTCAGCTGGTTGTAGTGTTGTAGTGTTGTAGTGTCAGCTGGTTGTACTCTACTGCAACATTATGCGGCACAAATCATCACAATCCTAACATTATTATATGGCATCAATCATGACAATCATCACCTCACACCACAATAAGGCACCAATCACCACAATCCTCACCCCACTGTGACGCACCAATCATCACAATCCTCACACCAATGTGACGCACCAATCATCACAATCCTCACACCACTGTGACGCACCAATCACCACACATCATCCCCAGGCCTCCAGAGCTTGACTGTGTGCTCCAGTCAACCATCCAAGTCAAGTATTTGACTGAGGCTCGACTGATACATCCAGTCAACCATCCAAGTCAAGTATTTGACTGAGGCTCGACTGATACATCCAGTCAACCATCCAAGTCAAGTATTTGACTGAGGCTCGACTGATACATCCAGTCAACCATCCAAGTCAAGTATTTGACTGAGGCTCGACTGATACATCCAGTCAACCATCCAAGTCAAGTATTTGACTGAGGCTCGACTGATACATCCAGTCAACCATCCAAGTCAAGTATTTGACTGAGGCTCGACTGATACATACAGTCAACCATCCAAGTCAAGTATTTGACTGAGGCTCGACTGATACATCCAGTCAACCATCCAAGTCAAGTATTTGACTGAGGCTCGACTGATACATCCAGTCAACCATCCAAGTCAAGTATTTGACTGAGGCTCGACTGATACATCCAGTCAACCATCCAAGTCAAGTATTTGACTGAGGCTCGACTGATACATCCAGTCAACCATCCAAGTCAAGTATTTGACTGAGGCTCGACTGATACATCCAGTCAACCATCCAAGTCAAGTATTTGACTGAGGCTCGACTGATACATCCAGTCAACCATACAAGTCAAGTATTTGACTGAGGCTCGACTGATACATCCAGTGTTTTAAGTCATGTTAAAACAGGTTTCTACTTTACTAGTGTTATTCGGGGGTCGGGGTGAGAGGGGGGGGGGGGTCTCGCCCGCTTGATGTGACTCGCTCACCTAGCAACCCGTAATTAATTAATTGATTAACGTTTAATTTCGTCGCTTCACCTACACTGAAATTGGGGTAAAGGGAACCTCTGGTCACAGAAAGATTTACAGCTTGTTAAGAGCAATGTTACAAGCAACTCTGCCATTTATTACTGCCCTTGTTTACCGGTTACTGCCCCTGATCGAACGCAGACGACCATACAAGCTGAGCAGACGATCAAGACACGCTGGGCAGACAGGTGGAGAATCCGTTGTTTTCCCGCGCTGCTTTATGCCTGCTCTGCTGTCGTTACCTTTTTTGCCTGCTGGTATTTTTCTTTTTTCATTGGCTTTCATTTTCCGAGGATCGGAAATGGTCTGGTAATAAAGCTAAACTTAGAGCGAGTAGCGTTGGTTTCGTTCATCACAATGTCAACCAGACAACCCAATAACCAGGCACCAACCACACAACCACCCAACCACCTAACCACCCAACCACACAACCACCCAACCACCTAACCACCTAACCACCCAACCACCCAACCACCCAACCACCCAACCACCCAACCACCCAACCAGACAAGCAAGTCAACATTCTAAAAATAGAGTTGCTGTCTCCTGTTGAATGCGGTCATTAAGATTTGATTGATCTCAAATCTGACGCCATCTTGTTTTATCTCGACCAGATTCTCCGTGAAACAACCAATGCTGGTAATTAATTAATTCATTAAACAACCACTGTGTACTGCTGTCTGCGGTGATGTGTGGATGTGTTGGTGGTCGTGTGGCTGTGTGGATGTGTTGGTAGTCGTGTGGTTGTGTTGGTGGTTGTGTGGTTGTGTTGGTGGTTGTGTGGCTGTGTGGATGTGTTGGTGGTTGTGTTGGTAGTTGTGTGGTTGTGTTGGTGGTTGTGTTGGTAGTTGTGTGGTTGTGTGGTTGTGTTGGTGGTTGTGTGGTTGTGTTGTTGGTTGTGTGGCTGTGTGGATGTGTTGGTGGTTGTGTTGGTAGTTGTGTGGTTGTGTTGGTGGTTGTGTTGGTAGTTGTGTGGTTGTGTGGTTGTGTTGGTGGTTGTGTGGTTGTGTTGGTGGTTGTGTGGCTGTGTGGATGTGTTGGTGGTTGTGTTGGTAGTTGTGTGGTTGTGTTGGTGGTTGTGTTGGTAGTTGTGTGGTTGTGTGGTTGTGTTGGTGGTTGTGTGGTTGTGTTGGTGGTTGTGTGGTTGTGTTGGTGGTTGTGTGGTTGTGTTGGTAGTCGTGTGGTTGTGTGGTTGTGTGGTTGTGTTGGTGGTTGTGGTTGTGTTGGTGGTTGTGTGGTTGTGTGGTAGTCGTGTGGTTGTGTGGTTGTGTTGGTAGTCGTGTGGTTGTGTGGTTGTGTTGGTGGTTGTGTGGTTGTGTTGGTGGTTGTGTGGTTGTGTTGGTGGTTGTGTGGTTGTGTTGGTAGTCGTGTGGTTGTGTGGTAGTCGTGTGGTTGTGTGGTTGTGTTGGTAGTCGTGTGGTTGTGTGGTTGTGTTGGTAGTCGTGTGGTTGTGTGGTTGTGTTGGTGGTCGTGTGGTTGTGTTGGTAGTCGTGTGGTTGTGTGGTTGTGTTGGTGGTTGTGTGGTTGTGTTGGTAGTCGTGTGGTTGTGTGGTTGTGTTGGTGGTTGTGTGGTTGTGTTGGTGGTTGTGTGGTTGTGTTGGTAGTCGTGTGGTTGTGTGGTTGTGTGGTTGTGTTGGTAGTCGTGTGGTTGTGTGGTTGTGTTGGTAGTCGTGTGGTTGTGTGGTTGTGTTGGTGGTCGTGTGGTTGTGTTGGTAGTCGTGTGGTTGTGTGGTTGTGTGGCTGTGTTGGTGGTTGTGTGGTTGTGTTGGTAGTCGTGTGGTTGTGTGGTTGTGTGGTTGTGTTGGTAGTCGTGTGGTTGTGTGGTTGTGTGGTTGTGTTGGTAGGCGTGTGGTTGTGTGGTAGTCGTGTGGTTGTGTGGTTGTGTTGGTAGTCGTGTGGTTGTGTTGGTAGTCGTGTGGCTGTGTGGACGTGTTGGTAGTCGTGTGGTTGTGTGGTTGTGTTGGTGGTCGTGTGGTTGTGTTGGTAGTCGTGTGGTTGTGTGGTTGTGTTGGTGGTTGTGTGGTTGTGTGGTAGTCGTGTGGTTGTGTGGTTGTGTGGTAGTCGTGTGGTTGTGTGGTTGTGTTGGTAGTCGTGTGGTTGTGTGATTGTATTGGTAGTCGTGTGGTTGTGTGATTGTGTTGGTAGTCGTGTGATTGTGTTGGTAGTCGTGTGGTTGTGTGATTGTGTTGGTAGTCGTGTGGTTGTGTTGGTAGTCGTGTGGCTGTGTGGTTGTGTTGGTGGTCGTGTGGTTGTGTTGGTAGTCGTGTGGTTGTGTTGGTGGTTGTGTGGTTGTGTGGTTATGTTGGTGGTTGTGTGGTTGTGTTGGTAGTTGTTTGGTTATAACATAATCACCTCCCATACTTTTACTAGCTAGGACATGGATTGTGTCCTTACGGGAACTCTATGTAGGACATAGATTGTCCTGTGGTTAGCCCATGGTCGACTGAAGTCTGGGAACATTTCAAGTGGCAAACAATC